AGGCAATAGTCGACGGAGGCATAGCCTGAAGGTCCGTAGGCGTAGGACTTCCAGGCGTGTCTTCAGATTGTAGAAACTGAAACACTCCCGCTTGGGTGGCATCCATGTTGCTGAATGTGATGCTTTGCATCGCCGGGGGTGCGGGCGGACTCTGGCTTTCTTCAGACTCTTGGTACTCGGCGACTTGGCTATAACCGCCGTACGGTCTCTGCATTACTGTAGAGTTACTGTCACCCGACGCATCTGACTGTTGCGTCACACTCGAGACCAGAGAGGGATCAGACATGTTGGCCATATTCCCAGCATGCCGTTGCAGAGAGCTGTGTTTACCACGTGCGTGTGAGCGTTTCGCGGCGTCGTCGCCAGTATGCCTGCGGCGCAGAACCCGCGGATCGACCGGAGTACCAACGGCAGAGCTCCCTCGTCGTCTTGAGCGTGTGCTGACCTTACTCTTGCTTTCTCTTATTTGACCGAGCCGGGGCATGTAGCCGATAGTACTGCCCTCCTCATCCAACTCTTCCTGTTTGGCTTGCGAATTCGATCCAGGGTCGGTATGGTGTGAGTCGCGTCTTAAAAGCTTCTTCAAAGTGTTGCGAGGCTGTTTAGATCTCTGCTCGCTCTCTTCATGGTCGTCGCCGCGTGGCGGTGAAGCCGAGAGTGGGGAACCCTTGGTGCCCGAACTGGTGCGTGATGGACGACGTCTAGTGTGTGGTGCACTAGTAGCTGAACTCGTGCCTATGTCATGGAGGCCGTCGTAGTGGTATTTCGGATTGCCTGTAGCAGGACTGCGCTGTCGAGGAGGTGAACCAGCGCCCTCAAAGGCTGCTGCTGTATGATCCGACTAGGTACCCGAGTATCTACGTCAGTTTCCAAAAGCAAGCGTGTAGTTCAGGGCAGAGAGGCAAAGAGCGTGTTTATATTGTCTACCCACCATGCTACGTATTGTTTACAGGGTCCAGCTGTGTAAGCAGAGTCGTGGCGCTTGCGTCAGTAGATCTGGTACTGGGGGTGCGGTGGCGCGGTGCGGGGGAGTGTAGGTGATGGGTGTGCGGGAAAAAGATGAATATAGACAGTAAGTGACGTTTTCGTGCGGATTCCTTGCATGCTGAAGCGATTACAAGCACACGTTGTACGACTCTAGAGGCTGAACGGCACAAGGCTCGCAAATCGTGTGGATGTCGTGGTACGCCTCAAGGCCTGCTGAATCTGTACCCTGGTGTGCGCCATAATCACGGGCAATGCGGGTATAGTTTGGAATGGGGAGGAGACAAAGGAGAACGCATGTTGAACTGGAAGAAGCAACGACAGAATATTGTGCAGCCACTCAGTCACCGCCTTGCGCATGCATGCGCAGTTAACGTTGGCAGAGCTGACCGGGTGTGCACCGGAAGTGCCGCGCGTGTACCCAATGACGTCCCGTTGAGCCCGTCAAGCGATCGAATACCCCACTATGTGGGCCCCATCACCGCGTGCCCTCTCTTCCTCTACGCTTCCACAGTCTGTCTAATCCGTCGACCCGCATCGTGATGATGCTATCGCATACCAAACTCTGTCCAGTGGTGAAGCAACTTTTCTATTGTCCCGGGGCGGTTCGTTAATCCGTTAACAAGCCCATGGTCCTCCGCTGCTCACTCACTGCCACGTCAACAAGCTACTGCAACCCCGAACCAGGATTGTCAAGGTGAGCAGTGCAGTTCTGCCATCTGGTTCACACCACTTGCTCGCTCTCGCGTTTCACCGCGAGATCATTCCCCGTGCTGGGTATCCTGGCAAAGATCAGGCTTGAGATTCTAGAAGTCAGGCTTACTCCACGCCAAGTTTCAACTTGTCAAGGCGAGTAGATTCGGAGACCGACGAACTTATGCATGACGTCTTTGGCGTTTCGACGGTATGTCGATTTCACGACAACGAAAATAGCTATGGGTCGATGACTTCGTCTAGTATTTTTGATGCACACTGTGTGTGAATCGATTCGCAGCTGCCGATTGCAGTCCATGATAGAGCGAGAGATGACCCCCAAGGACAGAAAACACCACGCCCATGTCCAACTCTTGCCAGTAGATTTTTCATGCTTGGGCCCAAACTGTCCTCTCCAACTTTCGTCAATGGAAGAGTATAGACACGACACTGAATATAGGAAGGAAACAGTGGAGCAGCTATTCCCTACCACTCACGTCTTCAACATGCCAAATATGCCTTTTTCCACACATGAACACTCGGCTCTCCTCCACGTCCATCTCGTCGAATATGCTCATCTAGATCCAGATCATATGATCGCTGGTGTTGAAACAACCCCCGCGATTTTTGCCTGCCTGACAGGCGCTGAACCTGCGATAAAGTTCAGTAGTAACACGATTGATCTACCATAGTGATATATGCAAGCATTGTAGCCAAGAACAGGGGAAACGTCAACGCCACGAAAATGGAACGCGTATCCCGTTGATCTTGATCGACAAATCTTATTCTTAGAAAGTTCACTCATGCATCTATAGTATCGGACTTATTGCTATGCTGAAGATACGGTTGGACAAACGTGAGACTAAACACTTCGGAAAGCAAGTAGAGGAGTGGCTGACTACGGAGTGTGCTGTGCGCCAACGGTTGAATGGGAAGTCGACATTCCAGGGAAGGTAGAGGTGGCATACGAGATCCCAGCGGGTGATCGATCCCGGGTACGAGAGTACGACTGTGATATTCCTGTTCACCTAGCCGTCCCAGATAACAATATAGAGAAGCCTCTCCTTCGGCTTTCTGAGCTCAATCAAACTAATAGATTCTGGGTATCTCACACTTCTACATCTACTCCGTCTACAAGCCTCACGACTCCTCGCTCACACTTCGGCTCACTTCCCTCATGACAAAAGCATCGGGGTCGACGGGAATTGTCTTCAGGTCCACCTTGTGTGTATCTGCCCAAGCTCTTACCCTCGCTTTGTTGATGACAGCGTCGGCACCTCCTTTCTTCTTCTGCTCCAGCACGTCCATAGCCTGTAATGTCGCAATGATATCCTCGGGTACAATGTACGTCTTCTCGCGCAGATCTTGCACTGTAAGTGTTTTCTTAGAAGGGCAAGCCAGGATCGTCCGAGCGAGCGTTTGCGACCAGTAATGTATATATGCGATGCGACCGAGATCCGACAGCGCTGTAGTAGTAGTAGTGTTAGCAGAGGTACCATGCGCGGACAAAAACGTCGACCTACGTTTCTCGGGCCCACCCAGCCTCTCTTCCCGTCTACTCATCTCATAGCTCGCGCCCATGAGTATCTGCCCCAGCCCTTGTTTCTGCCATGGCGGAAACACCAGGATGCATGCGAGATTGTTGTTGTCCCAGCTCATCTTCTCTTTGCTGAAGAAGCCCACGACTTGTCCTTGCGCACCGACTCCACTCGCCTCTGCATCGTCGCCGAAACTGGTATTCGGTATCTCTGGTGTGGGGTTGTGCGCGACGAGGAGGTAGTATAGGAACGTTGTAACGTCGTAGAAGACGGATTTGGTATCAAGGAAGAGCTTGGCGAAGAGCGATAGGTTCTGTGCGTAGAGCTTGTGTTTCTCGCCGTCGATCTCGTATAGCGAGTAGTTATCCTTCGTGTAAACGTTCACGCCCGGGGGTGGTGTATTGCGCAGAGGACATGCTTTCTACACCTCATCAGCTTCCCAATCCAACCCTCACACGCAGCGCATATCCGTCTAAAAGCTTACCAGATGCCCAATAAACCCCACCAACTCTTTGCTATACTTGAAGCACCATTGGCACACATACAGCCGCTCTACGCGTCGGCCTACAAGCTCCTCGGGGTAGAAAGACGGGTACCACGGCTGGATGAGCAGCGAGCCGAAGACGACTTCGAGGACGTTGGGGCCGGAGGGGGGTTTCTGCGATGGCTTCAAGGCAGGCGTGGAGGGCGTCGAGGTCATGGAGGCTACATCGGGGGCCATTGGGCTGGCACGGTGACGACGCGTCGAGGGGCCGCCGGCACATGCGTGTGGGGAAGGGAAGAGCTTGGGCCGGGTTGTCGCATGAGGTTAGCGCGGCGCGAGGGCACGTGGTTGGCGGAGATGTGCCGTTCACACAATTAACGCGTTGGTCTTTACAACCCATAGTTCCAAGGATGGCCTGCATACTGAAATACCGAGATTAGCACGGGCTGAGTGGTAGTTAGTCTTTGCACCTACGGCCCTCAAACCTGAGCCAGTGTAAACTGGCCCCTCCATAGTATCTCATGTCTTGTTCTATAGTAGTGTCATCACTCCGTAGATTTACTCAAAGAGGTTTAGGAGACACATCTACATCCCCTTGACCAACCGAACCAAAGCTCCATCCTACACATTACACAGTACCACAACACCCCCCTAAAACCTCGAAACATCCCTCCCAAAAACCCAATTAACAACCCAATAAACCGGCACAAGCACCTTATTCCGCCAACTCACCGTCCGCGTCAAATACGCTCCCCGCCAAATAATCCACGCTACATACCCTTGTAACCTTCCACCCCATTTCCCGCCGCCTTGGAACAACGCATTCCAGTTACCTATGTAGGCCAAAGTGCCCAGGTCGCGGTATGTGAAGCCCTTTGAAGTAGAAGGTAGAGATGAGGGTGATGATGGAGAGGGAGGAGTGGATAAGGAACCGTTGTTCAGCCGTTTTGCCAACCAGAAGGCTTTTTGAGACGCGACTTGCGCGGTTGCGGGGTAGGTTGTTGATTCGATTATTCCGCAGTCGCCGAGGGCGAAGACGGAGGGGTGGACTGCTTCTTGTGCTACCTCTCCTGATTGTTCTCCTGACTTTCCTGAGGAGGTAGAAGGAATGAGCTTGACGCGGAGGTGGTCGTCTGTTATGATGGATCCGGATTTAGAGTCTTTCTTTACTATCCATTTTACTTCTTTGCCTGGAGTGGTGGTGGGTTGAGGAGATGAGGTGGAAGAGGAGGAGGGGAGGTAGAGGTCTGTGGGTGCTTCGCGGACGGAAGAGAGGGCGTGGTCGACGAAGGGGTTTTGCATTAGTCCTGTGCCTGGGGTGGGGTTAGTGTTGTTGTCTCATACTTCTGGGTGAAGCGTGAGGATTTGAAAGAGATGGGAGACTTACTCCATACACACATGCCCACGCCAATCTCGCCCTCCTCTTTCACCTTGAGCGTATACAAATGATAATCATCCACATCATCCGAAAAGCTCCTTTCGGCAGGCGCCCCCGGTCTGAGCTCCTCAACATGATGGCTCGTCTTGATATCAATGCCCTTACGCTTGAACTTCTGCATCGCATACCCCGCGAGTTTCTGGTCGAACATTGGAAGTACCTTCTCCGCGACATCGTAAACAGTAATCTTGTGGTACTGAACGAGTTCCGGGTACAGCTTCTTCATATCCTCGTTGATCAGATCGTGTAGTTCCGCGCTGAATTCGATGCCGGTGGGTCCACCGCCTACGACGGCGAAGTTAAGGAGCTGCTTCTTCATTTCGATGGAGGTGGTGGGTAGTGCCGCTCCTTCGAAGCATGCTAAGATGCGATTTCGGATGCGGCGCGCGTCACCCACGTCTTTGAGGAAGAAGGCATGTTCTTTAACACCCGGCGTACCGAAAGTCTGACTGTAGCAACCCACCGTCACAATCAACTTGTCGTACTCGACATCAAACAGCTTCCCCACTTTCGCTTCCTTCTTCTTCTCCGCCTCCCTCTCTTCCGCTGTCTCCCCAGCATGTCGATCCGTGGTTAATGCAACACCTTGCTTCGGATCGTCAACCGCCTCTTCAATCGTAATGGTCCTGTTCTTGAAATCGACATCGTCGGCCCATCCTTGGAAGAAGTCGACTTTGGTTCGTCGGCTGCGCACGGGTTCGAGCGCGGTCCGGAATTCCAAGGTACCGACTGCGGTGGAGGCAAGGAGAGGCGTGAAGGCAAAGTAGGATCGTGGCGATACGACGAGGGTTTGGAATTTTGAGGAGTCGAGACTGCGGGCGACTGTGAAGCCCGCCCAGCCGGATCCTAGGATGACTACGCGCTCGCGGTCTGGGATGGGGTTGTTAATATCTGGGGTCTTGTACGAGAGGTAGGCTGAGCAAAGAGAACAACGTACTATCTCTCCTCTTATCCAATTGCTCAATCGTAATCATCCGTTTTTGTTCCAAGCTCTTCCCATACTTTCCGCTTATCAAAGCTCCTGTTCGACACAGCGATGCCGTACGCGACCTAATCGTAGGCGCAGACACCAGTTCCCTAACACCACCCGGCAACAGCGACATACGAGCCGGCGACAACATTGTTCAGTCTTGGCAATCAAAGTGTCAATTGCACTCCTTGAATATTGAACCAAAGGAGTGTTTATCAAGACTAAAGTTTTATTTATCGACACCCACCCACTCGCCGGGTGCTTGCGGGTCGACCAACGGAAGTCGGCGTTGACGCCATGACGTATGGCTTTTGCAAGCTTGACGCGCCGAATGTTGCCGAGGAAGGTTCCCACATGTGATTGTAGAACAAGAGATTTGATTGCGCGAAGCATGAACGACTTGGGCAATACAGGATGCGACAATGTGCCGGGTGGTGTACACTCCCCCCCCTGGTACGGGTGCCTGGCGTGGTTTTTGAGGTTCTTGCCGAGCCAACAGCAAAGCCCCTCGCCAGGGTGGCAAAGGCCACGCACAAGGGTTTAGCAAATCAGAATTTGAGAACAGAGAGAACAACGCTAGGCACCCGTACCAGGGAGGGGAGTGTAGTCAAGGTAAGAGTAGAGTTGGTGGGTGTGGTAAGCACCGACGAAAAGGGCCGTGAGGTCGCGTGAGTCCCGTGATGCGACCGACATAGTTCAAATGTGTTATCTCTCCAATAACATCCTTCTCCAGTTCAATGTCATATCCCGAATCCTAGCTAAAAGGAACTCGTGTTTGTTCTCATCGTTAGTGCTGCGCCGAATTTGGGCTAGGGCGTCACGCCCTGAGGAAAGCTCCTTCCCGACCCAATTCGTGACGAGCAACACCACAACATTTTCGCAACAGATCTTATCAGTCTACGCAAGATAGTGCTGCGCAATGCTTCTAGTAGCGACAGGATATCTGCGCATCTATTGACCGAGAAGAGTCTACGTAGGTACCATCAATAACACAAGTGGGATCGCGACACAGCCGCTTTGAGCAGTCGAATAGCTTGTAGCTCAGCAATAGTTCTTCAAGGAATAAGTTTCGCGCATATTCCAGCCCAGAAAAAGCTTCGACAATGGACGAGATGGCGACACTGCATGTCACATTCGAGGAGGCTGAGTGTTGTGGCGCATCTCGCTTGGATCTGTTCAACGACGAATGGATGCAGGGTTGCTGCAGGAGCTGACCTGCACGATTGGGGGCGGTGCCTACTACCCCTCTCAACTTCGTCTCACATAGACGCTGGCCTGCCTCGCCACTCGTCCTGTTACTACCGTAAAACTATGACGACTTCCATTGTCGCTCGCAGATGAGATACGCAGTTCAACTTTACTGGAACAACTCCTTATGCGTTTCGCGACGCTGGCCTATACGGGGCGCCGTGCGCATAGCGACTTCCGACTGGACGGACTCGCCAAATGGCACAGCAAGGCTTCGAGGAGGACCTCTTACGGAGATGGTTCCCTCACAACGCTAAAGAGACGTTGACGCCCTTCACCGAGAACGACATTCGCGACATCGCAGACGTGTTGACTCGCTGTGCACGAGAGCGCTGGAGCCGGTGTCCCAGGCTTTATAGCATTCTCAGGAAGATTGGCCAACTAGACACGATTGACGCATTCATTGACAGCGACATTACAGATGTCTACTTCCCATTCACCAAGAGCACGCTACCGGAGGCGCTGAGCGATCACTCTGCACGACTCAAGTTCCTCGAGCTGCAACACCTCGTATACAACCGGGAGGCGCTGAATCTTGAGCGACATGCGCCTCACGGACACTTCAGCGATTCTACAGAGGTACCTTTCAAGAAGGTCGGAGAGTTGGGCAAGGGTGGATTCGGATACGTCGATCGCGTGGTCAGCACAATAAGTCATAAGGAGTACGCACGCAAGCTCATCTTGAGAGGAAAGACCTTTAAGAAGGATAAACAAGTCTTGAAAGACTTCACGAAAGAGCTGTGGAATCTCAAAAAGTTATCTCACAAGCACCTCGTTGAGTTGGTCGGCAGTTATACGGACAAGAGATTCGTAGCCATCGTCATGCTCCCGGTAGCCGATGCGAATCTGCAGACGTTTCTGGAGAAAACGGACTTTGACGAGAACTCTCGATCCTTCCTAAGGCCTTTTTTTGGCTGTCTAACCTCCGCGCTATGCTATCTGCACGACAACCGTATCCGACACAAGGACATCAAACCGTCAAATGTGCTCATTAAAGGCGACCAGGTCTACTTCACTGACTTCGGAACAGCTCTCGATTGGTCCAGCAGTGGCAGTAGCATCACAGCGACAGCAGCGCCTACAACTCCCCGTTATTGCGCTCCCGAAGTTATGGCCTACACTGAACGCAACTCATCGTCTGATATCTGGTCCTTCGGCTGCGTATTCCTCGAAATGTGGACAGTCCTTCGATCCCGCACGCTTGAGGAGTTGAAAACATACATGACCGCTCATGGCTCATGCGCGAATAGCTATCACTCAAACCTTGAAGCCATCACGGGTTGGATCAATGTCCTTCGGTCGTCAGCAGGGCCATCAAGCGACCTGATTCCGTCGACCTGGATTGAGAAGATGTTACGAAAGAAGCCAACGGAACGTTGGAACGTCCATGTGCTTGAGGACCACATCGAAGAAGCCTGCATGGACCCGAATGTGCAGCACATGTTTCAAGGCATATGTTGCCTTCAATCGGCCGAGGATACCTCAGAAATTGAATGGACGTCTGCCGAAGATGAAGAAGACACACTCCTAGTTCACTCGCAAACTCATGGCGCACCTGACTCCAGGAAAATTGAAGAGGCACACGAGGGGCCAGATCTGGCTCAAAGCATTTCGGAGATTATAATAGAAGATGCTGAAGCACAAGTCTCTTTGAGCCCGATCCTTCAACGCGCTTATCCTCCTATACCGTATTGCGAGACTGAGAGCGAGTCGTCGGCGGAAGAAACAGATGCACGCCTTCTTCAGAAGCCAGATCAACAAGCCGAGGGCATTGTAGATGGTCTATCTGATCATGGCAGCGTAGAAAGCAAATGGTCCACGCGCGCCCATCGGGGACCCGTCGTAGACGACGACCGTTCAGATGATGCAAACAATGCTAAGACAAGACAAAAGCATGGTTGGATGCCACGCATATCTTCGATCGACGGGACAATGGCTTCGAGTGATGAGTCGGATCATGACCAGACCAACTCTCAAGGCGAACTTGCTACTCACACCTTCGGAGATGATCCGATCCAGTCGCCAGAGAATTCTCAGACTGATGCTAAGTATAGCGTGCACTGTCCGTATAGCTGCGGCGCTGTACTGAAAGGTGCGGATGCAGTCAAAAACCTAGCACATCACATTCGGAATTGGTGCACAGAGACAGGGTCTTATCAGCATCGATCACGTTATTTGTGTCCTGTTGGAGGCTGTTATAAGCGGTACTCTCAGTCAGATATGTTCAGACTGCATATGCAGAGACAACACGGTGCGCCTGCAGTGATACAGCAAATACCACGCCCTCCCAGCAACACAACTGGCGAAGGTGCCACTGAAACGGCGGCCTTGATGCCACGCCAAATCCACTACTCTGAGCTCAAGGCTGCCACTGACTTCGAGATGCACGCCCGCAGATGTTCTGATTGCAAAGATCCATTCGAAGTATTTTGCCGGAAAAGCGAACTGTGCCACATGGGTCTCCGCTATGCTCGCAAAGTTCTTGAGCTGCTGTACAAATCCAACGGCGAGGTATTTGCCACCGCTATCGGGTCCATCGAAAACGAATTGGTAGGGCAACATCCAGACAAGGTCGATCTACCTCCTCGAAACTACGGTCAAATCGAGAGTCTCTTCAAAGCCATTGAGCATTGCCTACAGCGTTATTCTTTTTACGTAGTAAAGGAAGATGGTCAAACACGTTTCTTCAGAACCAATCCCGGAAAAGGTTCTTGGATAGAACTCCACCCCTGCTCTCAGTGCAAGAGACCGTTGGGATCGCAAATCAAACTGCTCAATAATGGATTATCGTCGCACGTAAATTGTTGGAAGATTGTTTATCAGGACACCGAATCTGATGCAGAGCCACGACACCCCCCATCGCCGTTACCGAGGCAGCCTCCCCCGTCCAAAGGCTCTACAAAGATCAAAAGAACCGGCTACCCGACTCCGCCACCTGGCTACATCCCATATGACTACCATCGAACCACGCCCCCAGGGGAGCGTCCCCCGTCCAACGGATCTACCAAAATTGAGACATTCCACTACCCATACCCGCCGCCTGGCTACAAGGAACCATACGACGACTTTCGAACCACGCCGCCTGCAGATCTAGAGGCTGGAGATTATCATTTTCCAGGGCAAAGTCCGAAGCCTCTATCGCTTTACCGGGACCAGGGAAACCCCCGCTCAAGTTTGGATTGCTATTTGTCACACCCAATTAGATTTGATCAAGACGGCGCGCGTGGGTCAAGTCGGCCTAAGACTGCCAAACGAGCAACAACAGGCTCCGCGAGGGAAAGCTCCTCGAAACCCGAGCCCGACAGAAGAGCAGACTCTAGAGACGAGGAAGACTTCGACGATCGGCGGCGAAATGATGAAATATCTGAAGGACACTCATTTCGGTATGGACCGGAAAACGTTTGGTGGGCTCCAAGGAGTAGTCATAAACCACGGACGGTTGTATATGAATATTAGTATTGGCCTTAGTTCTTTGCTTCTTACTTCAAGTTTTAGTCAATATGCCATCACAGCTAGTGTAGAAGTATCAACAGGGAACGGAGCTCTGCATCCCGGTTTTGGTGTTGATAGTACAAATACCTCTGAAGCATAACTCATTAATACTCATTGAAAGAGCGACAAAGCGTCACGATATGCAATATGGATATTGTATGAACTTGCATCATTGCTCGTCTAACAACACCATCTATATCTACCCTGACCAAATGCCTAGAACTCCGCCAATCGACCATGCTTACAAAAGCGTATCACCAAGCGCGCACCTCACAATCGAAACACCAGCGCGAACCGTATCACCCGCACCCTCAGCATCAAGGCTAGGGTTAACCTCCACAAGATCCAGCGCAATGAGCTGACCAGTCTCAGCCACGCACTCAGCGATGAAGTCGCCCTCGCGCAGCGTCAAACCACCACGTACGGGCGTACCGGTGCTGGGCGCCCACTGGGGATCCAAAGCATCGACGTCGAAGGAAAGATGGATGGGCGTGTCGCTTCCGATCCAACCCAGTGCCATGTCCATGACTTTGCCGATACCGTGCCTATCGTGCTGTTAGCAACCATTTCCAAAGTTCTAAAAACCGGCAAACGTACTTGTCGATCTCGTGCATACTGTACGCCTTAATCCCCTGTTCCCTCAAAATCTTCTTCTCCCCCTTATCAATATCCCTCAACCCGATATACACCAACTTCTTCGGACTAATCCGATGCTCCTCCTTCAACCACCCAAAAACATCCTCCGTCAACTCCTCCTTCTTGTCCACAAGATCCGCCAAAAAGGCAACCGGCATCCCATGAATATTCCCGCTTTCGCTCGACTCAGGCGTATTAATATCCGCATGCGCATCCACCCAGATAACCGCAATCTCCTTGCCCAACCGTTCCCTCACCGCTTTCGCAGTCCCAGAGACGGTGCCGATGGCGATGGAGTGGTCGCCGCCGAGGGTTAGCACGAGTTTTCCTGTTTTGGCGTGGGCGTAGACTTGGTCGGAGACTTGCTTTGTTACGGCCGACACGAATCTGGGTTGTTTCATCTTGCGGACTTCGGGGTCGGAGGCGGGGCGGAGCGAGGAGTAGTTGTGGACTTGGTTGTCGTAGGTGACGTTGAAGTCGAGGTCTTGTTCTAGTTGCTTGATGAGGCCGTTTTCGATGAGGGCCATGGGGGCGGCGTCGACGCCGGCTTTGGGCTATGGGGTAAGGTTGGTCAATTATTTTTGGGGAAAGAGGTGTGGTGGTGGATGGGCTTACCTGGCCGCCGCTGAAGCCGACTGCGACGATGCCTAGGTCATGCTTGTTCGGCAGGAACTTGGGCTGTAGTGTGGGTGCGGAAGTCATTTTGCTGGGGGTGAGGTTAGTCATGTGATTTGTTGCGTGGAGTGGGCAGAGCTGTGGGAAAGATGGGATTGTACGTGGGTTGGTTGTTGCAGAAGTGCGACTTCTAGATAGCAAACCACCACGTCGCAAACCACGTCATCAAAAGCAATTGCAGTTGTCTCTTACCTTTTGCTGTGAATTCGTATACCAATAGTAAAATGTCCTTCAATCTAGCAATGCAAAAAAGTGCTAATATCGCAATGCGTACAACAACACTCTACAGTAATCCCAACTCTGTCAAGAAGTCGAAGAAATGCGAAATATGCAGAAACCAACCCAAAACCGAGGGCGGGCAGCCTTTTATGCATTTTATCTGCGCCGGATACGCTTACAATCTCTTACCTAATTCCGTGTTGCTGAATTTTCCCTCCATCGTGTGCACCTGTACTTAAGGGAAGCTCTGATGAAGCTCTCGTCAAATTTATCACTTAGGGGAAGTAGTCTTTATCTTAGGACCGGTACCGTAAGAATGCCCCCACTACCGGCCCCGGTTGCGCGCCAGCACGCTTTAGGGAGGTGGGATGGGTGGTGTCAACGTGGCTTTTGCGCATGCTGTGGAACAGTGAAACTGTGTATGTATTTGTTGATTACGGCTGTGTAGAGGGTCGCTGTTGCTGATGGGATGGCTCGGGGGTGCACTGGAAAAGCGATTGGTTGGGCGGGAAGGGGTCTAATCCCGGCGTGGAATGGGCGGCTGCGATCGGCTTTACCGGTTCAGCCGCATGCTGAGGTCCGCACGCGAAGCCAGCTGACCTTTCCAACGCATCGTTCATCGCAGTCACATGCACTCTACCGTGTTCAACGCCAACGCCAACGCCGCTAATGTCCGGTCCCGCAATCCGTTTCGTGGCTTCCAAGTCCGCAAAGATCTGCTCAGGAACTGTTCAGTTGCTGTGTCATGTCAAGCCTGGGGTTAGTGCGCAACGCGAAGGCATCGCAGCGGTCTCTGACGAGCGCATTGAGATATGCGTTGCCGCTCAGCCGAAAGACGGAGAGGCGAACAGGGCGGTGAGGGAAGTCATTGCTGGTGCGCTCCGGATTGCGAAGTCTGATGTTGAGGTTGTTAAAGGCATGAAGAGTAGGGATAAGACGGTAGTTGTGCAGACAGGCCTGAAAGGCACAGCTGAGGAGCAAGTCAATCGCATCAGAGCAGTCTTGGAAGGCAGAGAATGACGTTTCAAAATCGTGTCAAGACATTACTATTATATTACTTTTGTGCCCGGGTCATTAAGGAGCGTCATATGTACAGCATGGATATCTCCATCTACCACTTCATGTTCATTATCCAATCGACATTAAAGATCCGCACTATCACCATTTCCAGGTGCTAGAGCGAGATCTAGTATTGCCAGGCACCAGCATCTTCGGTCGCAACTAGAGAATCGTTAGCACATATCCAAAATGTTGAGAGAAGCAGAAAACTTACCAGCAAGAGCGGTGAAGCCAAGGCAGTCGTCGCCGAATTCACCGTCCTCAACGGCACCAAAGACCTGGTATCCCTCGCCCTCGCCAGCCGGGCAGGCAACGAAGCCAGTCTCGTAGTCGAGGTATCCGTAGACGTTGCCGTCAGCGGGCGCGGTGCGGCTGAAGCCAGTGACGTCTGAGCCCTCGGGCTTGGAGACGGAGTGGGCGGTGGTGTATTGGAGAGCACCGCCGGGCGCAACGTAGACCTCCTGGCCACCAGGGACTACAACGCCAAGGGAGAGAGTTCCCTGGCCGCCAGCCAGCACAGTAGTGTTACCGGGAGGGCAGGCGCCGGCGGGGAGGTTGGACGGGCAGTAGGACGAGGGAGGGCCGCCGCCGAGGTAGAACTTTCCGCCGCGTGCGGTCAGGGACTGGAGGTGGATGGGCGAGGCGCTGCGGGAGGAGATGACGCCGAAGTAGCCGGTGGGCGCGGCGTCGGCAGGAGCGGTCGACGACGAGGCAGGTGCGCTGCCGGTGACGGTCGCGGTGTGCGAGGGCTTGGGGCAGTCGGAGGAGATGGCAGTCGCCATGGCGCTGGCGATGAGCGTGGTGATAGCGACGGTGTACTTCATCTTGGCGAGTTTGTGTGTTGTGGTGTGGAAGAACTTCGAAAGCGAGTGTTGTAAAGGGAGTTATAAACTAGTCTTTGCTGTGAATTGCTTTTGAAAGTTTGCTGAGGATGATGACCCTTTGTGCAGCGCCGTTCGCGGAACCCTTTATAGTAATGGCCAACAGACGGACGGTGCAGGGTATGAG